TCTCTCTCTCTCTCTCTCTCTCTCTCTCTCTCTCTCTCTCTCTCTCTGTGTGTGTGTGTGTGTGTGTGTGTGTGTCTCTCGTAAAATCAAATCTCAGTCACAGCCTGCCTTTGTTATTTATTAAGGAGCAGCGGTTTAGCAAAGACAAGTAGCGGTATGATTACTTCCTTTAGGCGGTCTTGAAAAATGTACGAAACCTCGTCATTATTAGTGCATTAAGTAATTATTTGCGAATCTTTCCGTGCGTTTTTTCTCTTAATTATACATATTTCTCTAAATTAAATACGAAATTTGTAATTAATGTGGTTCTCACTAGCGCAGGAATTTTGTTTTACTTATTATATTGAAGCGACATACGAATATTTAGTTGTTGTGCGAATATGTATGTGCACATTATTATTTTGCTTACCATATAATATAGTGTTGTAGTGTTGTATGGCACTGTGTAAACATCCAAACCAATCTATGCTCCACACATATGCATATAGTGTATGTTAAAACACTTGTCTTAAGCTGTTTGTTCGTTTAGTTTATTTATAGTCGTAAGTTTTTTTTTCTTTGTTACCAAGCAGTTGATATGTATAATAAATGTGATTAAAAAATATTTAATTTAGTCTTTCTTTTGTTATTCATACAAAGGAATACATATTTACATGTACAATATTATAATTATAGAGCAAGGTGGGTGTGGATTTTTTTGTCCATGAAAGTAAATTGAAATTTTAATTGGTAATTATCTCGTCCTATGCCCTTCTTTAATAAGCACATGTAATATAAATACATGTTGATCAAAAAGTAACGCGAAAAATGAATGAGTTGTGATAGTTAAGTTTAAGCGTTCTATAGTCATTTGACGATTATGCCTTACAAAGAGTCTTCGGTCATAGATCATGAAATGTTAGCTTGATATCTCAGAGGAAGGAATTTAGAGGTGGCCTTCAAAAATTAGTTAGGGTAATGAACTTGTATATTTTTGTTAAAATTTTTTCTCGTTTGAATATTAGGATTATTGCGGTTTATCTCGGCTCGAATTGTTTACGTGACGCAAAAATACGATTCAAGCAAACGATTACTTTAACCCACTTAAAGGAACTACTACTAATTAAAATTTATATTAAATTTTTTTCGACAGCACCTATTCTGGACAGACAGATTTAAAATTTCAAGTATTTTATAGTAACCTTCAGACACCCACACACACAAGTGAACAAGTTTTATGACGGAAAATTGCTTTGAACGCTTTCTCCGAATATCTCCTTTCCTAACTTTTGAATGAGATATGGCGCTTCCATTTGCTCTAAATTAATGAGTTGCCATATAGTAATGCCTTTTATGGGGACTTTGATTGAGCAATGTCTTATTATTTGCTACGACAGGCTTCTTGTATACTAGGAAATTAGAAGTTTTGAAAATGTCTCTAGATGGCAACAATTTTTTTCGAAGCTTTTCTTTATGAATTACAGAAAATCTGGCGCGAATAGTGCACTGATACGATTCATGGCTTCATCAATTACGATAATTGAAAAACTTTCGGTCTATTTTTTTGTTGATCAAAGGCCCGGGAATACTAAAGGAAGGGAAGGGACTGCCTCCTCTCTTTTGCACCGAAAACGTAGTGTGCAGGTCACGTGTCTTTATCAATTGCTTTATCAAAAAATTAAAAATTCCCCGAAATTTTTGATTACCCAAGGGACGTTTTTTTTTACGAAACATGGATGAGTTTGTGTTAGTACTGTAGCTCTGTAGCTCTAACTTCCGCAAATATATGAACATTTTCGGTACTTGTTGATCACAAACTGGTGCTCGAGAGTATCTTGTTTTTATTAGAAAGTTGCAGCTATACATATATCGCGCGGGACGTGTTTCATTTCGACGAGGACCAAGAAGTTCCGGATACTTTTTAGTCAAGATGTATTAAGTAAGCTCGAAGTGCTTCGTTCACTCAACACATATTCATAATCCCTAACTCTTTAAACAAACTAGCCTGATGTATTACCAGATTTAACCTTTTTTGGACTATCTTACATATAAGTAAAATTTAAGTAAAATTATTTTAAATACAACACTGCAAGTACTAATGGCTAATTTTAAATCTAATGAGATGTGATGAATGTATTCATTTATGATGAATTACTTTCAATCTGTTTGTGTACAAAAAAAAAAAAAATTAAAAAAAATATAGTTAAACTCATTACAGTCATTAGATGACCATTGTTGAATAACGACAGAAGTTTGCCTGTAAGCTAATGGCAGACATGTGCAATAAATAACTAACAAAACACATACAAAAATTGTCCTCGCCTGAGGATGAATTTATGGACACCTATCACCTTGACTCAATACATTATAATTACAAAATATTTTGGTAGATAGGGAGCATTATGACTCTTTACTTAGAACATGTCCACTGAACATACCGCAAGTTAAAGGTTAGAAAGAAGTGGGAAGAGGTAGGTAGGGGCTGGCGCCAGTCTGGGAGCTGTACTACTATATCTACGACCATACATCAATTGTAATTAAAGTATGATCTACCGCACTGAGACTTGACCAGACTCGGCTTGGCTATGTGGCGGCGGCCAAGACCCGAAGAAATATTTGTATTAAATTTTGGGTAAATGTTCTAAGTAAGTTATAGTATATTTTTTATACTTTAAGGGAATATACATAAGTGAAGGGCATCTCTAAAGCTTTCAATGCTCTCCGATTAAACGTTTGTCCAAAGTTTTGTACCCACTATATATCTCCTATTATATCTTGTAAATCCGTAATCTCTATCTATTTTAATTTTATTATCTAAAATTAAAACAATAAGCCAACAACAGTCTCTTCCCTGAAAGACGGATAGACGGACTTGGCTAAATCTTTTCAGAATTTTGCCAAGAGTAAGCCAGGCTTTCTGGAATTCTCTCACATATGTTAAGCGCTGCAGAGGGAATGATAAATTTAGTGTACACCCAGTCTTTGACTGTGACTGTACAAAAAAAAGAAAAAAAAAAAAAAAAAGTTTTTTAAGTTACGGGTAACGTTGAAATGCACAATATTTCGCCTGAGTGATGGACACCTGTCAAATGGCCAAAAAATGCAAATGATTGTTAAACCTTTTTTTCGCCCATTCACTAAACGTGTACGTATACACCGTACATACACAGTCAGCACTATGTGGAGGAAAAAATTTGTAGCTTTTATTAAGATTGCAAATCACATAAGCGCTATGGGCGTAATGGTGGCTATTTTATGAAAACGTAAGAAAATTGAAAAAAGTAGCCTTTGTAGATGTATTCAAAAAGATCTAATCATACCGCCAAGGCGACGTTGTTCATTACTAACCTCAGAAGAAGGTTAAAGTGACTATAATTGTTGTTGTTTTATTTATTTATTTATTTATTATTATTATTTTTTTATTTTTTTTGGCAACGTTTGACGTCTTGACACCCAAACAATACGAAAAGGTGCATATGCTTGCATATCTCCGCTAATGGTTTAATAGAATATTTTTAACAAATTATACAAATATATAAACACTTGGTGAAGAAACAGTAAAAACAATCATGACATGAGCTTTATATGAAAATTTTCTGACATGTTATGATTATGTCATTGCTTTTTTAAATGGCAGTAGAGTTGGCAGTGTTTC